TTTCAAGTATGAAATTAGCTATATTTAGGGAGGACTAGCTTCATTATTTAAAGATGAAAAATTATGTGAGTGGGGAGTAGAAAATTTATGAGTGTAAATTTATGTAACACTTGATAGAAAGAAGACCAGGGATTGACAGAGGAAAGATTCATTACATGTGTTCAGATAGTTAAGCCTAAGTTACTCAGACGATGATATAACTAATAGTTGAAGAGAGTAAAGAGAACAGATTTTCTTTAAGTTCATTTCGTGTTTGTTTCTTGTGGTGCACTTCTTGTTATGGAAGTGTTGAGCCAGCATTTTGAGATACTGTGACAAGAGGCACTAGGAGTTGAGAACAGAAAGGCTATACTGTGCCATCTGTAATTGTCTCTTCATAGAGGTAGGAGGCTAGTAGAGTTTAGAACTAAACTTTCAGAAACGCTCCTGTTTGCCAGAGTGGACAGGAAAAGCGATCGAAATTCCTACAGTGTGTTTGACAGCCACTATGTCGTTTTCAGAGTTGGGAGGAGAATAAGTGTCCACAGAATTTCAATATATTTGGAGTTGACATAGTTGAGTAGCTGTCTTTGTTCATATATAGTAAATTAAGGCCATTTCAATATTGAAAACAGTGACAACCTTTTAAGATGTTTTGAAGGTTACTTGATTGCTAGAATATGGAGAATGTTAATAGATTATCTTTGTTTAAGCTACAGAAATGATTGTAAGGGACGTTCAGTATACTGGATAATTTTTTTTTAAGCTAGTCTTTATTTTATTACATTTGTGTGGTGTGTGTATTTGGGTGTATGTAGGTCAGGACTACTTTGTGAAGTTGGTTCTTCCTCTTCCACCATGTTGATCTCAGACATTGAACTCAAGTCATTAGGTACCTTTGCCCACTTACTCAATTTACTGCCCCATGTAGTATAAATTCTTTTTTCTCCCCCTCAGTATTGTCTAACTCCAAGAGTTCTTTATGCATAAAAGCTTTTTCTAAGTATAAAGTCTGTCTGCTATTTGATTCTTAGGTATATGTTTATGCTAAAGTGGTTATTAGAATGTTTTCTAGCTCAGTGCTTCCTTCCAACTTAGTGAAATATTTAAAGAAAAAAAGATAAAGTGAGAAAAAGGAAGTGACTCTGGATATAGAATTGACAGAGAATTTGCATAAGCTACTTCACATGCTCATCTTTGTGTTTGTTTTGAGGTCTTCTAGAAGTAAATATTTTTCATTTTAGTCAGTCAATCTTCCTGATTGATATAATTAGACCTTACGATTTTAGTCTGCACTTTGTCCTTTTGATATAATCAGGTTCACATTTATCTAGGTCTTTAAATAACCCTTCTGGAACATCATGATTTTCGAACTGAGTAGGAGTCTAAATGGCTGTTTCCCTACTCTTCATTCTTAAACAGAGCTCAGAGATGATTTATTTGCTCATTACTAGCAGAGAGTTCTTGGTCTTCCACCTCTCTTAACAAGGGTTTAATACTCATTTCCTAAAAATACTTCTAGGATTTAGTCACAGAATTTTCCAATAACAAGAACATTATTGTCATATAGTTCTCATCTTCTACTTTAAAAAGCAGAATATGATAATTGCTGAATATGACTTTCCTTTATTGATCCGTTTTGAAATTTTTGCCATTCTTAGCTAATACTATTTCGTGAATTATTTTAGCTATTCTTTACTGTTGTTTAGTGTGTATGAGTTTTGTTATATGATCTTTATGTCCCAAATAATGTATAATAGGCATACTAGAGGCATAGTTCATCTGAAAGAATTTTTTCTTTTATGTAATTTTTTCTTTTGTGTAATTGTTTTATTATAACATGGAATAAACTACAAATTTTATGCAAATCATGCATTATTAAATTTTATGTCGACTCATTTTTTTTTCAGGTAGACCATAGACCTCATATATTCTTTATATACATCCATTCTTTATACAAATAGTATGTTTTATTTATTTCTTTATTTTTTGTAAGTTTCATTGCTTCCTACTTACACATGTATATTTAAACTTACTTTAAAATCCCTTGTTTGGTTTAAAAGATGAAATTTTTTTTTCAGAGAGAATAGCTTTTTTTTCTGGTTGACTTTGTCAGTCATAATGTACATTGTAAGAAGCTGCAAATAGGGTAGTCTTTTAATTACTTTTCTATTGCTGTGATAAGACCATGACCGAGGCAAGCTAAAGAAGAAAGTGGTTAATGATGGCTTAGATTTCAGAGGCAGTTTATGACCATTGTGACAGGGAGCTGGGCAGCAGGCAGAAATGATGCTGGAACAGAAGCTGAACACTCACTGATGATCTGTAAGCACAAGACAGAGATAGAGAGATAGTGAGTGGCATTGACTCACAACCCCAGTGACACAGATACAACAAGGCTAGCATCCTAATCCTTCCCAAACAGGAGCCTGTGGGGACATTCTCATTCAGATCACCACATTCCACTTTCTGGCTCCTATAGACTTTTTGCCACATCAGACTACTATAAAATGTATTTAGTCCAACTTCAGAAGCCCTACAGTCTTGGTCTCAAGACTGTTTAAATTTCCAAAGTCTCTTGAAACTCAAGACCCTCTGTAAAATACAAAAGCAAATTATATACTTTTAACAGAAAATGGTACAAAGTATACATTACTCTTCTAAAAGAAGGAATCAGGCTGTAAGTTAGGAAATACTGGAACAAAGCAAGACCCAAAGCCAGTAGGGAAAATTTCAAATTTTATAGCTTCATGTCAAAGGGTTGGTTTTTTTGTTTGTTTGTTTCTGTTTTAGTTTGTTTTCTGTTTTGCTCCCTCTTAGGCTATTACTACTCCCTGTTTGTAGCTCCCCTTGGCAGATAACACTGCTCTGCCATCTCTAGCATATGTGGCTCCATTACAGCTTCTCACATTTGGCTCTGCCTCCTTTGTAGGAGGGTCCCTTTGCCAAGTGTCTGGCCTCAGTGACTTTTCAGATTCTGTGTTACGTAGGAAGCAGATTTTGTACAGTTGTTGCTTTGGACCTTTATAACTTCCAACCAAAATATTCTTCTGGACATCTACTAACTGCTGATATGACACATTGATAAAGAGCATGCATGTGAACTTGAGTAACTCCCCCCAGCTCCTTCTTCTGCAGATTAAACAGCAGTGCACAGTTCCTAAGATTTCCAGAGGTTATCTTGCCATGCTCATGAAGGAAGGTCTGTCAGGTTTCCTTAGTCATTGCTAAGTGTAAATACTCTCACACTTCTTCCTCTATACTATTTTTGCTGAAAATTACAAACTTACAGAAAAGTGTTAGTTCTAGAGGCATTTAAAAATCTTGCTTTTTTTTTTTTTTTTCTTGCTTGCTTTTTCTTTTTTTCTTTTTCTGGAAATTTTGAATGAACTGAGGACTAAAACATCTCTCTCATGTCCCAGAAACTTTCTTGAAATTCTGATGTAAAATTCCTTTATAGGTTTTCTTTTGCTTATGTGTAGTTAGTTACTTGTAAGTTTGTATAGCATTTATTTGCCTATAAAAGTACTAAACACTTAAAATGTGAATCTTGACAATTGGAGTTACAGTCTTCAGTTCTAGCATATGCTATGTGGCTAATGTCTTAGGCTACTATGGAGAAAGTAGTTCTGTCCTTCCTTGTTTTTTGAGTCATTCTAAAGTGGTACCTTCCTCTGCTATCTTACCTTCAAGTTTCTTACCCAATAAATTATCCAGTTTCATTAATGATTCATTTCTTTTACATGGTAAGTTCTTTATGTATTAGGATTAGAAAGGCTTTCTTGTTTTCTTTAATAATTATAATAAGGAAAGCTGCTTTCTTCTCTGTTAATCAGCATCTGGGATCTCATTAATAAGTCTCGTGTATTTTTATTTTTAAACCTTGAGAGATCCAAAGACAAGGTTAATTGCCTTTTTGAGGCCTTTCTATGTGCTAAATTTTAGAATAGTGTTTCTCTTTTGACTGAGGTACTTATTTTTCTTGAGAAATCAGTGGCTGTTCTGCATTTTAATTCCTGTGTTTTGTGAACATCTGCCAAATTACTAATACTCAAAGAAAGTCACCACTTCTTTCCTTCCAAGCAGTTCCTAGGATGTAACCAAGTTCAGCTTGTTCTAGATCAGTGGATACCGGAACAGAAAGGAGGTATTTCTTACCTGATAATATGTGTGTTCCGATTCTGCTAATCCAGAAATCCAATCACAGTTGTTGAAAATCATCCTTAGTTATTATTTGTTTGGGAGTCAACTCCCTAGTTTAGATGTTTCTGAAATTCAGTCCCTAGATGTGCTTTAGATAGGGTAGAATTTTTACCTCTTTCAGAACACTGCTAAAGAAGTTTTCAACTGGAACATAGTCTGAAGAAGCACTGAGAGCAAAAAAAAAAAAAATCAGAGTGGTGATTGGCCACCTCTGTTTGATTGACAGGTTGCAGGGAGAAACCCATTCGTTCTGGATTAATGGAACTGGAAAACAGAAAACAATTATCAGGTAAAAAAACCCTTTTCTTTAACCTTTAAAATTCACCATTAAAAGATGAGTCAGACCACCAGGGAATTTTTTTTTTTTAACCAAAAAGAATAAAATTTAGTGTCTTGTAAGCAGTGATCTCTGGCTACTACTTCTGAGTGTTCAAAAAAATAGAAAGAAAGAAATTGCTACTGTTTCTCCATGTTCTTAGCCTTTACCGAAAGGGCAGGAATGAATGGAAATAGATGGAATGTATGGTTCATTTATGTTTTAATCCGGGTAGATTCTTTGGGTGGGAGGGAAATCTGTGTATTTTTATTTTCTGAATTGTGTCTGGTCTGTGATTAGGATTCTTTGTTTTCAACGCTGTTAATCCTGCATTTTTCATGATTTTCACAAATTTTATTGTACTCTGCTTATTATACTTATCTTCCCTTTGTCAGGATGTATGTATACTTTTAAATCTTTCCATTATAAAATTCTAGTGACAGTAGTACCAGTTTTGTGTATTTTAATGGCAGTTTTCTGAATTGTGGTTAATATGTTTCAGATTGAAGGCCAAGGACACGGTGCAGTATTTGACTGCAAATGCTCCCCTGACGGCCAGCACTTTGCATGCACAGACTCTCACGGACATCTTTTAATTTTTGGCTTTGGGTCCAGTAGCAAGTATGACAAGGTGGAGTATGATAAACATTGCTTTCCTGTTTCTTAAATACATGGCTCTGGGCTTACATGATTTTCCTTAGTGGGCGAGAGTGCACATTGCTAAAATCAGAACTTAGGGCTAGAGAGATGCTGAGTGGTTAAGATAGTTGCTGCTCTTTCAGTTTAGTTAGAGTTTGGTTCCCAGTACCCATGGCAGGCAGCTCAGAACTGGATGTGACTCCTACTCCAGGGTATTGGATGCCTCTCTCTCTTGACACCTGCACTCACATGCACATACTCATATGCCACTACAAACACACAGCTACACAGAATTAAAAATTATCTGTAAAGTCAGCTCAAAGAATCATACCTTAAATACTCCAGAAACTTGTTTTTAGAAAGCAGTATGAAGAAAACTTCTATAAAATCTTTTCTCTAATTAAATAGTAATTAATTTAAAAGGAGCAACTTTGTACATATCCTGATAGAACAATCTAAATTTGAGTTTTTAACTTGGGATAAATTAACTTTGAATAAAAGATGATAATCTTTTAGAATGAATGAATAATTCATAATTTAGTTTATGGCATTGCAAATTAACCAATGAAAATTGAAGTTATAGCTCTATCAAGTCTGAAATCATAATAATTTTACATTATTGCACTCTAGTGGCAGTGTTTTCTTCTGTCACTTTTTTGTTGTTACTGTTACATAAATCTTGAGGATTAGAGCGTAGCTCAGTGGTTAACATGTGTTTGGCATGTTTGGGATTCCATGTTCAATCCCTCCAAAATACTATGTGCCTAACTATTTAAAATAGAATGTAGTATATGTGAATCTTTGAATGTGTACCTTTGAATGTTTCATGCCAAGATGTAATTTTACTTACCATTTAAATTAAAAAGCTTATTTTTAATGATTTTTTAAAATGTATATGACTTGTTATACTAGGTTTCAGAGAAGAATTCAAGCAGCAGGTTTTTATACAATAGGCCGTGAAGAAAATACAAAGATATGCTTAATATTAAGAACAGAAGATTCTTTAGTTCCTTGAATCCTTCCTTTTAATTCTGGAGATCAAACAGCTCATGGATGCTGATATTAAATCCAAGTCCCATATTGTTCTTTTACATAAAATTTTTAGTATCTTAATTTGTAGTATAGCATTTGGCTTTTCTTGGCATTCTTATCAATTTTTCATGATAAATTTTATTTTTCCAGTATTTTATGGACCTTTCTTTTTACAGATAGCAGATCAGATGTTTTTTCATAGTGATTATCGGCCCCTTATCCGTGATGCCAACAATTTTGTATTAGATGAGCAGACTCAGCAGGCACCTCATCTCATGCCTCCCCCCTTTTTGGTCGATGTTGATGGAAATCCTCATCCATCAAGATACCAGAGATTAGTCCCTGGCCGTGAAAATTGCAGAGAAGAGCAGCTGATCCCTCAAATGGGAGTGACTTCTTCAGGTGGGCATCCGTTTTCATGGTCAGTTTCTCACATATTTTAAAACGTTTTTACGTATTTGTTATAAACAAAGTTCTTTCAAGAAATACATAATAATTACATAATAATTAAAACATTGGAGATTTGAAGCAATAATTCTGCTTCATACCTGTTTCTAACCTCAAGGGATTAATTGGATTGTCTTGTACTTTGTTTATTCCTTTAGCAACATTAATGAAAACCTTCCTCTGTCTTGACCTGCTAAGCCTTGAATATTCGGTAGGAAATTAAATTTGATCCATCCTCTCTAAAACTTAGTTACAAAGATTAATAGTAATCGAAAGTTATAAACAAATACACAGTGATGACTGTGATTGATGTTAATAATAGTGAGAAAACCTAAAACGAGATTGACTATTCATTTTGTTGTGTATTTTGAGACAGGAACTCTTTTTAATTGTTTGTTTGTTTGTTTGTTTGTTTAAGTAATTTGAGACAGGAACTTACTAGGTAGGGTCAGCTAGCCTTCATGGTAGTCTAAACTGTTCTTCAATTTCCAGAGATCCATGTGCTTCTGCCTTTTGAGTGCTAGAATTAAAGTAATGTGCTGGCACACCTGCCTAGAAGTGATCAAATTTTAAAGGTTTGTGAGAAGATAGGCTAAAAAATAAGAGAGCTATTTTTGTGAAGTCATGGAATGTTGAAGTCACATGGACTAAAGAACTGATGATAGTTAAGTGTAGACTCTTTTTCCTATATTTGACAAATGTAACACTGACTTATTAAGTGGAGATAATAAAGAACCTCTAAAGATTCAACCAGTTTTGTCATTAGGAATGTTATTTTTATATTCTGAAAAATATGAAGATACTAATACTTCTAATACTGGTAACTTCTGAATACGTTTTGTGCTGAGTGAGCAATAAGTTCAGGTCGTATAAATAGCAGAGAAGACTCGTGGTGATAGAGCAAGCTATAGGATTCAGTGTATATTGGAATAAGAATGGACATACTAGATTAAAGGTGCTGGTCCTTAAATTAGACATGCCCACACTACATGGAGGGTAAAGAAAAACCATTAGGGGAATTGCTTCCATTGCCCCTTTATAGTATAGACTTGAATCTCCAGTGAGTAAAGCTAAAGTTTCTTAACATACTCACAGAAACTAAGAATAGCTACCAGTTGACAACTAATCATATATTTAGATTCTAGAAGTTTCAGTACTAGAGACGTACTACTCATGGGATTAAAATTAATGAGGATGCATGGAATTCTCTTGGTGTATACCTACCACGATCAGATTTTTCCCAGCTCTCAAGGTAATTTCCTTACCAGGGGTTTTAGGAAAAGGAAATTAAGGAAAAGACAATTATTCAGTGTTACTGTAATTGTTAGTTTCCCTCCATTTTACAGCTTATATAAAGCTTTCATAGATATTTAATCATTGCATCCTAAACATTTACAAAACATATTTTACAGTTGTCATATAATTGGAGACACTATGTGCCTGACTCTTTTGGAGCTTTTAGTAGTGCTAGGTACCTTTATCCTTCCTGAGAATACCCAAAGGTAGAAAGTTAAAACAAGAAAAGGTGATTTTAATGATTGCAATTTCTGAGGGTCACATCATGACAGTGTCGTGAGTAAGGTGGAGCAGCTTAGTCAGTGGAGCAGGGGCATGTGGGTGCAGTTGTTCATGTGCCAGCAGAAGGGAAGAAGAGAACGTTATATTGTAATCAAAGATGGCCACTGTTACTCATCCACTTCCTCTAGTAAGAGGGTCTACAAATTTCAAGAGGCTGGGAAGATGGCCCAGAGCTTGGCAGCTCTGGCTGGTCCTCTGGAGGTCTTAAATTTGGTTCCTGGCAACCACATGGTGGCTCATTACTATATATAATGGTATCTGGTGCCTTCTTCTCGCATATAGGCAGAATACTATATAGATAATAAATAAATCTTTTTTTTTGGGGGGGAGCACACACAAAATAGTGCCACAAACTGAAGACTGAGCTTTCAGAGCATATCCCTATGAAAAAACTCTAGATTCAGAGCAGAACAGAATTATAAAATGGCATGAGCCTGAGATAAACAGCAGCTATTTGTAATGGCTCACAAGAGAACCTTCAGCAGTAATTCTAACTTCTTAGTACTTTTAAAATGTTTTCTAGTTCTCAGAATTGTCCTTATTTTAGAAATGATGATGTACAGAAGTATCAAGTGGAACAAAACCCAATGTTTTTTAAGAAAAATATTAGTGTCGTTACAAACTGCGTTTGTTTGCACATTTAGGCTTATGAAAATTTATTTGCTAAATATTGCAAAGCTGAATAAAACTAGATGTGACTAGTGTAATAATAAATTTATTGAAGTGGAGTTTTGTTACATTGATACCTAAATGTACTTTTTAAATTGTAAACCTAAGCTATGCCAAATTATTAATATTTAAATATTAGGAAATTCAATGTAGACATTTTGCCTTTGCTGTCTTTCTCTACTTTTTAGCTTTGTGAACCAGTCATCTTATTTCTCCTATTTAATTACAGTTTTTTAATGTAAAATAAGTCATCTAATACGTGGTATTTTCTTTTGAGGGGGGGAGGTTTGAGACAGGGCTTCTGTGTATAATGGCTGTCCTGGAACTTGCTCTGTAGATCAGGCTGACCTTGTACCCACAGAGATCCACTTGCCTTGAACACAATCCGACAACTGGGATTAAAAGTGTGGACCACCACTGCCCAGCTTCTAGACTTTCTTATTACTATTTCAGAATATTACTACTTTCAGGATAACATTTGAGTATTTTCTTTACAATTGATGTCCACCCTAAAATCCTGACCTCATTAGACCTTAGAAGGTTAGGGTTAGATTTATTTTATTTTTAATTACATTTTTGTAGGGGTGGTCTGGTGTAGGTGGATTCCTGTGTTCAATCCCCACAGAGCTGGAGTTAACCAAAAGGATGTGGATGCTGGGAATTGAACTAGGATCTTCTGCAAAACCAGCACAAGCTCTTTATTACTGAGCTCTCTCTCCAACCCCAAGATTGAACATTATGTTTCAATTTATGCTAGATTAAGAAAATACATTTGAGAAATGAACTTACTGAGTTTTCTTTTATATTACGTATTTGCCCTTGTACTAAAATAGAAGATTGATAAGGACCTGAAAGAGGGGAACAGGTTGTTCTTTCAAGGGGATTTTGGAAAAATTTCACTGTGAAGGCAAAGAATATTTTTAGTTGCTATTTGAAGGATGAGTTATAATTTTATCATGTGTATCCTTATGGGGAAATTTCAGAGTAAAAAGCAGAAGTCAAGTGTATTTGTATGACAGGCATAAAGGGGACTAATGAATAGGTTTGGTTAAAATAAACCAAATTCTTTCATGTCTCTGAACACTGATCTGACATGTTCTTCACATGCTTAACCTAAGTCTCCATTCAATGCTGTCTTCTCAAAGATGGCTGCTCTGCCTGATGGCTCAGCATATCTTTCTTTCAGTTCCTCTTTCTCTTTCTCATCACCGTATTTTTTTGCATTTTTCACAATCTGCATTTATCTGAAGGCTCATATTTTAATTGTCCCAATCAGGATGGGTTGTGTGCTATAGGAGAAAGATCTCAGTGTCTCTAATTTGTCACTGGATCTCCAATGCTAGGCATAGTCTCAAGAAGACAACCAAGAGTTTATTGAATCAATGTGACAGTTGTCAGAAATTAAGGTGTAAGTAAGGAGTTCTACTTTTGCCACCTCTTATGTAAATGGGAAATTGTGTTTTTGCTACTTCCTAGATATCTAGTATGTCTTTGTGTTTCATTACTTTAAACTGTATAATGGAGTTAATGATTTGGTAACTATAAAGTTTATGAATGGTTGAGTCATGATAAGCACAAAATATGCAGTTATCCTTGTCATCATTACTTTTGTAAATTAAAAATACGTTGTGGCTAGGTTTCTTTGCTATCACTTACAGGTAATGATTTTACGTCTTTACCAAAGGAAAGTTCATGTTTCATTATGGCCTTTTGTGAGACTGATTAGTAATTTTTTTTTTTTTTTTTGGATTATTACATAGGATTGAACCAAGTTTTAAGCCAGCAAGCAAACCAAGATATCAGTCCTCTAGACAGTATGATTCAAAGACTACAGCAGGAGCAAGACCTGAGACGTTCTGGTGAAGCGGGTGTCAGTAATACCAGCCGTTTAAACAGAGGTAAACTGAGATTGTACTATAAAACCTGAGGCCACTTTAATCAACAGCAATAGAGAAGTGACTAGACAATTACAGTACATCCATAATTTGAAACAGGCAACCAAAATGAGATCATGTTTTTTAAGAGTAAGTACAAGGTTTTACATTAGATGAATTTTTAAAATATGTAGATCCTTCCACGTTTTCTTAAGTAAACATTAGAAATAGGTTTCTGTTCTCTACTTCCTCTTTGCTTCGGATATGAGCCAGGATTGGGCAAGTGTTCTTACCGTAAACCTGAACAACATGAAAAATCAGCGTATTATGTCATCTTCAAAGCATAATCAAAGTCAGTTTTAGTTCTTTGCTCTTTGTATATTTAATGTTAAGAAAAAAGTTAAATTGTTGAATAAAAAAAATGTCCTGTATTTGCTTTTCTTAATTCTTGAAAGACTTAGCAATTTTTAAGTAATGATATTGTACTTGCAGTAGATGAACAGTCCAAATTATGATTCATTACTTTATCCAATCAATTGAATAACTACATTTTTTTTTTACTAAACTTTTGCTCATGATTTTTTATGATAATGGTAATTGAATTATTTGCTATCAAAGCTTTGTGTGCAAGGAAATGTAGGTCGTTTTTGGTTATAAACTTAAGTGAGGTGAGTGTCTAAGTAGAACTTAACCATACTGATTTTTTTTTTCCTCTTTTAGGGTCTGTAAATTCTACCTCCGAAGTTCATTCACCACCAAATATAGGGTTGAGGCGCAGTGGGCAAATTGAAGGTGTGCGGCAGATGCACAGCAACGCTCCAAGAAGTGAAATAGCTACTGAGCGAGATCTTGTTGCTTGGAGCCGAAGGGTAGTGGTACCTGAGCTCTCGGCTGGTGTAGCTAGGTAAGGGGAATTATCAGTTGGTATTTACAATAACTGCTTGTATTCATTTTGACTAATATTCTTGAAAATACCATTTCTACCTTGTGATTTATTTTAAACTTTTATTTTAAGCTTATCACTGCTAAAAAATGAATTTTGAAATAAAATGGTATGAGATAGGAGTGTTATGATAGGAGAAAGGGTGATAGGTTAGGTTCGCTAAATGTTTGAATACCAATTCAAATTTCACCTTGTCCTGTTGGTATCCTTTGTCTGTGTCAGCATGAATATGCAGGCATTTGTCTGTGTGTATATGTGCAGAATTTAGTAGTTGATGTCAGGTGGCTTCCTTTGTTGTCGTACACTTTATTTTTCGACATGGGGTCACTGACTGAACCTGGAACTCATTGATTAACTAGGCTAACTGGCCAGTGAGCTCCAGGGACTCAGCTGTGTGTTACGTCCTCCCACATAGTCCACATAGTCCACATAGTCCCAGCGCTGGGGTTAAGGATGCACTCAAGCTGTACCATCTGTTCTGTAGGCAGGTGCTAGGGATCCAAGTTCAGGTTCTCATGTTTGTGCAATAGCACTTCCTTTAACTAGTGAGCCACATGAAATACCACCATGTACCTATCAGAACATCTCAAAAAGTAAGTGATAGCACCAAGTACTGGGTAAAACCGCTTTACTTTTTTCTATTTTACTTTTGTGGCAACATAATATGACACAGACAATCTGGAATTCTATTTTGTACTTTATTATGCAACTGTCATATATGACTTCAACAATTGTATCTTGGAAATTTACTCTTATTAGCATATGGTAATCATAGATATTAATGGGCTTCATTATGACATTCATTCATTCCATATGTTTGTGATTTTGATTATTTTCACCTGATCCCCTTGTTTTTCATAACTTTTTTCCTCTTATACTTTTGGTATTTGTTTGTTTTGGTGACCCCATAAGATTAATTATGATTGCTTAAGTGAGCATAGGTAACAGGTAACTTATATGGACTGGGCAGCTTACTAGTATACACCACTGAAAAAAATGTCTCTTCCTCAGCAAACATTAACTACCAGTAGCTTTTCAAGGAAGGATGAGACCTTGTGTCTCAACTCTAAAACTACCATTAATTTCCTGTAAATCCTCAGAGAGCTTTGTGGCCTTGTGGATCTCTCCCTTCCCCATCACTTTATTTGAGGGACCCAACTGCTATGAGTTCATGAGTGCAGTAGCCAAACCAAGGGGAACAAACCCAGATTTCCTTCAGTGGTATATTGTTAAGCAAACTGTGAATAATTCTACTTTATAAAGAAACAACTTATGGATGAAGTAACTTAGATAAATCTGTCTTGAACCATCTCAAAGTTACTGTTTGATTTCATTTATGAACATGAATCATGTTCATTTATGAACATGAATAATGTTACAGGGTTGGAGAGCATATTAGTGGTCACTAAGAATTCGGAGAAAGATTTGAAGTAGAAGAAAGTGTTAGTATGATAATAAAATGGCAACACAAAACATCTTTGTGTTGATGGAATGTTCTGTATATTGATGTGGCAAATATGCAAGAATACACATAATACATTAGCATAGAACCAACATTCACAAGTGAGTAGCCTTAAAATTGGAGAAACCTGAAGGTTGACTAGTTGTTTACATCATTGTCAGCACCATAATACTGTACTATATTTTTGCAAGATTTTACTATTGAAGAAAACTGAATAAAGATTACAAGAATTTCTGAGCCCTTTTTCACATCTATATGTGAATTTAAGATTATTTCAATATGAAAGTATAAAAAGGTAAAAAACTTTCTGAAGATTTAAATTTCATTTTTCATGAATATGATTAAATTCAAACTAAAATGAAAGTATTAATATGCTGTAGTATGAAAGTATCAGCAGTGCATGATATTCTAAATATTCCTTCCTGTTTTTCAGCTTGGGAGAAATTAAAGCTTAAAGACTCAGTTTCCTTGCAAGTCAATAAAACTTCCAAGATAAAGTAAAAATAAAATTCTCTAGTTCTAAAGGGTTGGATTTAATGAAACTAAAATTCAGAGTTAATACTCTGTCTTTTCTTTTTTTCCTCCTGTTCATTTAGTTTCAGCTTGATGTCTGGAATGGAATATGGCTTTTGTCTTTTGAGTGGTAGGGTAGGATATATGTCACTGGAAAAATTATGTCTGCTTCAGGAATTGGTGGTTCAACTTTAAGGCTCTGCAGTTAATAGATTGCATGTATACTGTTTGACATATAGGAGTGTGTAAGCACAAGCTAATGGAATATTTGGAATATTCCAAATAAGAAAGAGGTCTTGATAAAACTTTGCAGAATTTAATGCTTGACTTGATTTTTAATTACCACAGCAGAAACATTTTGAAGTAAGGAGAGAAGCAAAACAAGTCTCTTATGTCCTGAGCACGTGTTCCACCTGGAAAGAAAATTCTAGAACTAACCTCACATTGTTACCTTAATATCTCACTTTCATTTTAAAAAATCAGTTGCAAAACTGTATATTAATGTTTATGTTTCTTAATATTCTCTTTTAGTAGACAAGAAGAATGGAGAACTGCAAAGGGAGAAGAGGAAATAAAGAGTTACAGGTCAGAAGAGAAAAGGAAACACTTAATGGTTGCAAAGGAGAATAAAATACTTACTGTCTCAAAGGTAAATATTTGATGTTTAATGTTATGGGGCTAAGTCTAACGACCAGTTAAAAGCTTCCTCTTAAAATTATAAGCATTAATATAAGAAATTAATATTAATAACAATTACTATAGTTTCTGGTTATTTATTTGGATTATTTTACTTTTTTCACTTAAAACTTCTGTTTATGCAATTTTTGTCTCTTAGCATGTCTTTTCTCCAAATGCCAAGTTGTGTGTGTGTGTGTGTGTGTGTGTGTGTATTACTAATCAAGTTAAGAAAGTGTTTTTCATTTCTTCCATTAGTTGTATATTATAAAACTTTTTTTGTGGCTGTTTTATTCTTATCTGTTATTCGTAATCGACTCATGTGATGTTTGGTAGAACGAATAGCCCTTTTCATTATTAAGATGGATAGGTTGATGGCTAGAGAAATCTCTTAAGTGGTTACTAGTACTTGCTGCTGTTCAAGAGAACCTGGGTTTAGTTGCTCGCAGTTGTCTTCAGTTTCGGGGGAATCCAGCAGCCTTTCTGAACTCTATGGACACTAGTTGTAACATGGCACACATACAGACATGCAGGGAAGTCACAAACACTTAAAAAATGAAGAATAGAGTGTCCCTCGTATTTAGTCTTGCAGTGGTCCTACTCTGCAAGACTTGTATTTCCCTCTTCTAGCTTAGCTCTCAAAGTTTCAGAGCTATCAGTTCTGGAGTTTAAAATATCTATGAAACAGCTTCTCAAGCAAGCCTTCAATTATCACTGAGCAGTAATTTAAACAAAGAGAAAATTCCTGGTTTCTGACCAGCTTACTCCTTGGGAGAGATTGACAAGATTGATTCAGTTTATAAGGTGTTTGCTGCCTAGCCTAGAAAGCAAAGTTGGATCCCAGAAACCAGCATGGTAGGAGAGAACTGACTTCACAGTATTGTCCTCTGACCTTTACATGGGTACTACTTACATACAAACACACAAATAAGTGACTGTGATTTAAAAATGGGGAAGACTGGAGACTTTTTTCATTTTCGTATTTCTCCAGGATTTGACCACATAACTTAAGATGATAGTCTGAATTCTCAGTTAAGGTTATGGGATTAAGATTCAGTCAGTAGGAAGATGTAAAGAGTGGATATGCTCTTTGATGCTGCTTTTTAGCAACATTATGCCACGTTTATCATTGGCCACAGCATTATCTCGTGATACTCTAATAAACTAGCCTCTATTTTTTTGCTCAAATGGGAGAAAATAAGTATTAGTTAACAGCAGGCTTTCATCAAGGCATTTAAAATAGCCAAGTATGGTAGCTATTGTCTAATCCCAGCATGTGGGAGGCTGAGGTAGGAGAATCCTAGAAGCTTGAGGCCAAATCTACTTAAATTGCTTCTTATGTTTTTCTATTTGGAATTTATCTTACTAGACATATCAAATTGTGGATATGGCTTTCCATAGTGAGAACATAGTAATTTCAAATGGCATGGATTTAAGTAGTTAGAAATTTTTATGCCAAATGAAAATGAATATTAAAATTTTAATAGTGGATTAATCAGTGTTTGACAAAGTAGAGCATCATTTTGTTTTTATCTTTACATACTTTCCAAGATTTCTATAAAACTTAGAACAAACGTGTTTAGAGAGAATCTTGGGGTTCTGTGACCATTGATTTCACTTTCTTTCTTCACTGAGTATAATTGTAGGTTTAGAGTTACATTGTGTCAGATTTTTCTACTGTTCTCTTCTAATGTCAGGTTCATTTTTTTTTTTAAATACTTGTTTTTGTGAATGGTTGCCTGCTTGTATGTTTGTGCACTCTGTGCATGCAGTGCCAGTAGAACCCCTGAAGTTTAACAGATTGCTGTGAGCCGATGTTTGCGTTCTGGATTTGAATTCAGGTCTTCTGCAAGACCACCAGTGCTCTTAGCTGACTGTCTCTTTAGCTTTAAGTTCATTATTGTTTAGGGTAATTTTTAAAACTTTCTTTTTTACTCTCAGGTTTGTCTATGATATATGTTCAAGGTTTTCTTCATTTGTACAACTCAGTTCTAAAACCCTAAAACACTGGCAATTTTTTTTTTCTTTTTGTTGTTGAGGCAGGGTTTCAGCTCTGGATCCTTCTGTCCCGGCCTTTCTTCCAAGTCCCGTGTTTCAAATTTGTTTTTATTTGAAACTTTGAGCAGTAGTTAACTGGTTTTCATATTCTTGTTTATGAACATATATTTCAGTCTGAATGGTCAACCTGCTGCCTTTCCCCGTTACTAGTTAAATGATTAGGTTTTGGGGTTTTTTATTTTTTCTTTATAGGGATCGTTGGTTCTTTTTCTTAGCATCTGGTTTTCTGTAACAACGTCTGTGATGTGATGTATTTCATACTTGAAGTTGCATGTTATGTTAGGAGCATGTTATGTTTGAATGTATGTTACTGTTTGACTATGTTAATTTGTTCTTGATTGTTTCCATCTGAAGATGTTTGGTTCCCCGCCCCCTTTGGGGTAGGTAGGTTAGAGATAGGCTTGAGAGAGGGTCTCTACATAGCCCTGACTGCCCTGGAACTCTTTACATAGCTGAGTGTAGCCTTGCACTCACAGAGATATACTTGCCTCTGCCTCTTGAGTCTGGGATTAAAGGACTGGGCCACCATGCCAAGGTTGCAGGTGACTTTCTTGAGATTTATTAAAGAAAGAATTTCAGTTGGTACCATAGACTAAAAAAAAAATAGTCCATTTCAGTGATACCTTTAATATGTATGAGCTTCCCATAATAATTGCTTTTATGCAAGAAGGCCTATTCCTTAAAGTCTATTGTGAATAAATGTTACTTTTATTTTTCCAGAATCATGCTCATGAGCATTTCTTGGATCTTGGGGAGTCCAAAAAGCAACAGGCCAATCAACACAGTTACCGTACAAGATCTGCACTGGAAGAAAATCCCAGGCCACTGGAGGAGATAGAAAATGGGACTAGTTCTTCAGATGTAAGATCTTAGTACATTCACTAATCTCTATATATCTTGTACTTATATTTTAAATATGACTTCCATTATTTGTGTTCATTGATGTATTTCTAATTTTGTTATGGCATTTTTGGTTTTATACTAGTCATATCTTTCATTTAAAAAAGAGCAGCCATCCAGAGATATCATTTAGTCAATCTTAAATTTACAAAGCAGATAGTTCATATGGATTAATTATTTTGAGTTCTCTTGGTAAGTAAGAAGGATACCTTGAGAATGGAGTGAGTATGTTAAGTACAAAATATTAATTAATGAAAATTCTGTAAGGGTTCTGAGGTTCAAAGATGTTTTAGCTTTATATCTATGTAACTGTTTAATGGTGACCAATCATTATACAGGTTCCCTTTATATTAAACCTGAGATTTTAAATTTATTCCCTGATGTTCTGTTTTAGTCTGACTATAACAGTATTTAGAAGCAGTTGCCCTTTTTAGTGTTTTTTGTTTTGTTTTGTTTTGTTTCCCTTTATTTTTTTTAAGCCCAGTAAAAAATTTAGAGCTTCTTTCTTATTCTTAAATTTTTACCATTACTTATATACAACTTGTATCTTGTGTTATGAATATTTCAGAATTTTCTTGAGTATCCGGGGTGACCCTATTCACAATGTAGGTTAGTCTCCTAATCTCAGGTGCCATGAAATATATCTGTAACCCATCATGTAGGAGACATTTGCTTGAGTCCAGAAATTTGAGGCTTGTTTTGGCAATAATATGTAGATCCAATCCCAAAAACAATTTTTAAAAATTAATAATTAGAAAAATGTGTTATATCATTCTGTGATTCTTTTCCAACAGGATTTATTATCTTTTTTATTTTCTTATAGACTCTATTTTTGACTAGTAAAGAATATTCTTGAGAGACAGGAAAGATCTGTTTTCTCATATTAGCCAGAATAAACCAGCTATTGCAGGGAATCTCACGTTTTAGTCATACCTTTTCATTGCAAACAAATTTTCTTCTTCATAGGGAAGAAGTCTGCTGCTGTTCTAGAGTTTAATTTCCTGTTGCCACCTTTAACATTAACATGTGAATTGTTCTCAGTCAGACTTCACTGCCTCCCACAGACCTGCCTTCTGTACCTTCTTTAGAAGAATAGTTGCTTCCTTCTAAAAGACTTGTTATTCCAGGAGGAATCAGGAGGTCTTTACAGTACTTAACACAATGTTATAATTACTTAAGACAAAAAAAACTTACGGTGCACTTTCTTTAAGCCCTGCTATAAGTTAGAATGATGTGGTTATTTTATCAAAATGGCAGAAGTATAAACTAATTATCTGATATGAGAGATGGGAGGGGTTGATTTTGTTGCAACAACAATGTAAAATACTTTTACTATCCAGTTTATCAGGAACTTAGGTGTTTTGACAATTACAGCAGTGGCATGACAATTTCAGGCAAGTTTAGCATTCTTTTAAAGCAGTTAAGTAAATCTTCTTAGAGAAACTAGAGTATGTTTATAGAAAATAATTACTAATGGAAAGAAGCCTGGCTTTTTTTGGTTGAAGTATTTTGTCTTTTAATGTTTTGAATTAAAAATTAATTTTATTTCTTTTCTCTCCCTTTAAGGAAAAACATGAAATTATCATTTATTTATAGATTTCACTTAGCTTACTAAACACTTGAATAGTTACGTAGTTCACATTCTTCACTATGATAACAAAATAGGAATACTTTCTCCCTTTTAAAAAAACACATACAAACAGACAAGCAGCACTAAAAAGACTCAGAAGGTTGCATTTATATATTTTTTGCAGTAAATATATAGGTAAATAAAAACTACAAAAAGAGTCCAGTAAATGGGATCTGGTGATTAAATAAATTTTTAACAATTATTTTTCTTTAACTTGTAAAGAGTACTGCCCTCTTGGAATGGTTTAAATGTGCCTACCAAGTAGTAAAACTGAATCATTCTTGTTTAAAATTACCAAGGCTTTGGACTGCAGTGACCTAGGGTGCAATAAAGCCTTTGTTCATAATGGTTGTGCTGCTTCAAACAAATTTCTGTAAGTTCCTAAAACTTTTATTTCTTGTATTGAGGTGACTTATTCTTATTTCTAATCCTTGTTAAATCTAAATAACATGACAAACACAAAGCACTTAAAATAGTTCAGTAACTTGGGAAATGATCTGTTGGAATATGGCATTTGTATAAAGAACATATATACCATTTCTAATAAAAAGTAAAAGCTTTATTAAAAAAAATAGCTTCACCCATAGTATTCTCTGAACTTTGAAGAGGAGAAACAGTTTGTCGCTCTGTTGATGATTTTTTTAATATAATTTTATTTTTTATATTAATTACAGGTTATTTGTTTTGTATCCCAGCTGTAGCCCCCTCCTTCATTCCCTCCCAATCCCACCCTCTTTCCCTTATCTCCTATGCCCTTCCCCAAGTCCACTGATTGGGGAGTTCTTCCTCCCCTTCCATCTGACCCTAGTTTATCAGGTCTCATCAGGGCTGTGTTGTCTTCCTCTGCGGCCTAGCAAGGCTGCTCCTCTCTTGGGGATGAGGGAAAGTCAAAGAGCCAGCCACTGAGTTCATGTCAGAGACAGTCCCTATTCCCCTTATTAGGAAACCCACTTGGATACTGAGCTGCCGTGGGCTACATCTAAGCAGGGGTTCTAGGTCATATCCCTGTATGGTCCTTGGTTGGAGATACAGTCTCATAGAAGACCCCTGTGCCCAGATATTTTTGGTCCTTGTGGAGCTCCTCTCCTCTCCAGGTCTTACTAATGCCCCTTCTTTCATATGATTCCCTGCACTCTGCCCAAGTTTTGGTTATGAATCTCAGCATCTGCTCTGATGCACTGCTAGGTAAAGTCTTTCAGAAGCCCTCTGTGGTAGGTTCCTTTGCTGTTTCTTGTTTTCCCTTACCCACATGTTGTTGATGATTTAATCCCCCTCTCATTGGATAAAATAAGGCTAGCGATGGAATGAATGCTGTTTTTTTTTTAATTTTAATATTAAATAAAATGTACCATTCTGAAACCATTTACACTGAGCTTTAAAAAACGTTCAAGAATTATAAATAAGTTTTGTATGTTAACTGTGGAGGTTGATGTCAGTCACTTAATAAATTTGTTCTTAAGCTTTTAAATAATGAAGCCTATGGTTTGACTGTAAACCTGTAAATCTAGCAATTGGGAAACTTGAAAGAGAATCAGAAGGTTGTAGATATAGCTGAGAACTGTCATGTCTAAAACCCTATATCCAATTCTCAGCTCTAAAAAATAAAAATGAAGCCTGGCAATTATCTGGAGTTGGTCTGAATGTGGTTTTAATTTATAATATTTACGAACATTTATTTATTCATGTTTTTAGAATAAAAATACAAAAGTAATATTTTTCAACACCCAAGTCAATTTTTAGGCATTTCCTTATGAAATCTGTCTTGCCTATCACAGGAAGGTGAAGTGGTTGCTGTCAGTGGTGGAACGTCTGAAGAAGATGAGCGAGCATGGCACAGTGATGGCAGCTCCAGGTATAAGTGAAGGGAGTTTTACTTTTCTAGCTTCCACTATCTCTGCCCACCCAAATCTTGGATATAAAATTATGTGAAGAGTCTTTTGTTTAAGAAAAGTTTAGGTTTTCTTCCTGACGTGTCTTAGAAAAGCTGCAACTAGATCTGTAAAGTGCTCTTTTTAACTCGTCTACTTACTTGTTACTGTATTTTTGATGCTGTATTTATCATACAGAGTTATAAACTAGCTTCACTGCTATTTTGAGGATTATGTAAGCCTCAGATTATGAAAGTCAAGAGGTTCTATTGAATTACCTTTTATTTGACTGTATTTATGATATATTAATTTTCTTTACCAATAATGAAAAGCAATTGCATCTTTCTATTGCTGTCTTGTTTGATCATGCAAGTTAGAAATCCTTCAACAACTTGTGAGAGTTTCACATTCATAGAGGCTTAATATCTTCATTACAAGGTTTTAATGGTCAGTGGGGATACACCCGTGGTTAAGGAAGTTATTAGTTGTTTCTTACATTTTTTTTTCCTGCTTCAGCAGTTCCTAAATTGGACTTTCAAAGGAAACATTAAGTAGAGGCTGTAAGTTTCCTGCAAGTTTCTAATCAGTTCTAGATTCAAAGGCTTTCCTGGCCCTCAATAATGATTCTTAATAGTATATAAATGTGTATAGATAGTGTTTAATAATTTTCTGTTTTTGAAGAATGAAATGCTCATGATTTGAGAACCTGTACTAGAAGAGAGCATTTGAAAACAGTATTTATCTTATTTAAAAGCAAATTGAAAGATCATGCATGGTGGCACACAGGTTTAATCTTGGTACTCAGCAGAAAAAGAGGATCTCTGGAATTCTCTATGCCAGCCTGTTACACAAAGTGAGTCCCGGCCCAGCCAACTAAATAGGAAGATTGTGTGCTAGGGAAAAGAACAAATCATTTAAACAACAGAATCATAGTAGAAAAACTTCATTTCTTTAATGTTTCCCATCTAGAATGAACAAAACTACTATTTAAAATCTGTTGTTAGCTTACTAGTTAGTATTGGAACTACAAGATCATACATCACACAGAGCTGATGATTTAATGTAATGTGATATTAGATTTTAACAATTAATTCATCCCTTTAAGACATTTATAGTTATAAGTCTATGTAAAATAAGCAAAAACTCTAATGTATTAAAAGTGAAAATAAGACAATTGAACTAGATATGTGTGTGGTGCCATATCAGGACTGCCTATATCTGTAAAGGTAAATTGTAAACGACATGGCAAGCATGATTGATAGGGGTGTGTAAGAGAGTTCCTCTTTAATTTTTATCTGTAATGAATAGGTAGATAAAATATTCTTAACTGAGTCTAATTATTGTGGTCCTAGGGTTGATAAAACTTAGGACATTCTGTGTGCAAGGGAAAAAAGTCGTACTGAGCCATCCTCCTACCCTGAAATTATGTCATTTTACATGCTAAGTAATGTTTATGACTTAAACTTTTCTACTGTGTGGGTACACTTTCACTTGCCAGTTCAGTATCTGCCTACTATGAGAATTTCCATTGTTTAAGAAGTTCATCCTTGCTTGGGAGTGGTGACACATTCCTAGCACTTTGGGAGCAGAAGCAGGCAGATCTCTGTGAATTCAAGCCCTGCTTAGTCTGGTCCGCAGAGTGAGTTCCAGGCCAGCCAGAGCTACATGAAGAAAGCTTGTCTCAAAAACAAACATACAAAGAAACAAACAAAAAAACCTTTATCCTAAGCCAGGCATGCTACTGCATGCCTTTAAGTCCAGTACTCTGGAGGCAGAGACAAACATACTGAGACCCTGGTCTTAAAAATAAAGAATTTCATACATTGACTAGTTTAGTGGTAGAGTGCTTACAAGGCTTCAGTCATCAGCAGATTAAAGACTTAAGAATTTTAAGATTCCCTCATGAAAGAAATTCCTTTGTTTCCTTATTCTTTTGTATGCATGTTGGCTCTCCAAGGCTCTTTCTACTTCTGCTTGAACTGAAAAAGGTGATATTCCCTTCCTTATTTCTTATATGCCAAATATTGTTGACATTTGTAAAATAGTATGCTTCTTAAAATTGGAAAAGGTTAAGTTTTATTTTTCCATGACAGTTGTAAATTTTATTTTTAGATATAAAGGGGAGTTGACCATAAGGAAATAGTTTTTAGTTCATGCCTTTTACTCTGTGTGTGTTTCTTAAAACTATACCATATATTTGTGACTTAAAAGTTGCTTTTTTCTTTTTAGTGACTATTCTAGTGATTATTCTGATTGGACAGCAGACGCTGGAATTAATTTGCAGCCACCAAAGAAAGTTCCTAAGCATAAAACCAAGAAAGCAGAAAGTAGCTCGGATGAAGAAGAAGAGTCTGAAAACCAGAAGCAAAAACACATTAAAAAGGAAAGAAAAAAAGCAAATGACGAAAAAGATGGACCAACATCACCAAAGAAAAAAAAGCCCAAAGAAAGGAAACAAAAGGTTGATTTAAAAATTTTAAGTCTAGTGTTTTCTTCTGGAGAAGTTACTAAGTGCATAAATGTAAAAAGTCCAACAAACATTGTTGAGGTTTATTAAATAATAATAGAAAAAATTCAGACTTACATAATAAGCAGTAGTAAGGAGCATGAAGATAGGTGAGCCACAAGTGTTTAGAATACTTGACATCTAAGCATGTTTACTTAGAATACTACCATAGTTTAAATATTTTAGCATTTAATTTTTAAAAAGTTTAAAAATCCAGTTTATTTACATAAAGAAAATAATGTAAAGCATTTTGTTTACTAATTGTTCTTATATTTAGCTTACTAATTATTATTGTGAAAAATACAGAAAACCTCCAGGGGAGACATCCCATGAAATATGAATTACAAAACTTGTTGTAGTTGACCATACAGCAAGTACAAACAGTTCTTACAGCAAATTTTTATTAAATATAGTGTGCAAACCACAAGTTTTCACTTTTTGGGTTTGTAATGTGTTTGTTTGGTTTCTTAGTTCAGTCTGGATAATTTGAAAGTAGTGAATGAAGTCCTCATAAAGCTGAAAATTTTTAACCAGGAAATGAGAATGTCAGTATTTTTTTTTTCCAGAAGTAAATGCATCTTAATCTCCTTTCTAAATTGCTTTAATAAGGATCTCATGTAATAATTGCTCATGGAAATGTTGTGGGAGATAACAGGTGAAGTTGCCTGCTCCCAGCCAAGCCTGACTACCTAAGTTTGATCCCAGAATGTAGTGATGCATATCTTTAATCTCAGCACTTGGGAGACAGAGTCAGGCAAAGTTTGGTGAGTTTGAGGCCAGCCTGGTCTATGTAGCAAATTATAGGATAACCAAGGTTACATACTGTTGGTGTTAGGTTTTAAAAATTTTTTGCGTCTTTTATATCTCTTTCTCCCTACTCCATCTCAATCCCTTCCAACATCCTAACACCAGGTAGGGGAGATAAAGGGTTAGTGGGAAGCAGGAGCAGCGTTGTTCTTTCTTGGCGCCTCCATATGCTAGGTGTTGTGGCGTTCATTCTCTCTCCAGAGTCCTCATTTAAAATACCTGGAGCTTGCAAAGAGCTCTTCTCAGAGTCCACATGAGGCAAATAGTCTGCTGCTGTGGACTGTCTGAATCAGTCCCATATCCCACACCTGGGACCAAAACAAAAACATGTTTATATCCACACCAACATACAAAGATGCTGTCCTCAAACCCCCACCAATTTTTTTTCCTTTACTTTCTTTAGAGCCAAAAATGTTATCATTTGTATAATCAAATGCTATTGTGCTCTTCTTTATTCCCATGAAACTTTGAAAATTACAAGAATAGATCTGTACTAGGTCTTGATTTAATTTTTGCTGGTTGAATTCATATTTATTTCAGCTCTATAATTATAACTTGCTGTAATTTGGGTTTATAATGAGAAGATGGTTCTTTTTACATACCTCCCTTGCATTTTGAGAGGAAGTTTTACCAAAGACAGTGTCATATTTGTCTTCAGCTTTTACCTCCTGTTACGAAATTCTGTTCCTTGGCTGTGTCAGAATATTGTAGAAGGATTTGTTGATGGGACATACTTAACGAGGTTAAGGTATTATGGGTTGGGCCATTTGACAAGACTTTTGCTCCCATATTTACCAGTAGAGCCAACAGGACGGGATAATAAACTTGTTTTTTGCATAGTCTTCAAGTTATCTCAGGCAACACAAAAGTATTTCGTCTGTAGGTGTAAAGTTGTAAATTGGAAAGCACTTGGCAAGCAGATAAGTGCATTATTACTAAATATATGAAAAAAGAACACTTTTCATATGACTGAGTTTTAATTAAGAAAAGCATGACAGATACAAAGAATGGTAACAAAAGAATTTTTCAGCAAATTCAATAAACTATTCAGGATTCAAAGTTTATTAAATGTGAGCAGTAAAAGTAAGTACACGCCAATATTCTTACTCTGAAATTAATGTGTAATTAATAATATGTTCTAATGCCTAAGATAACACAAGGAATGCCACATATTTTAGAGATAATAATTTAGAAATCTGATGGGATAAATAATTAATTGAGATCAGCCTAGAGTTGTTAACTCTACCTCCAAAATAAGGAATTCTGAAGTCATATAGCAGGATGTTTTAAAAAGTACTTAATGAATTCTAATGGTTAAATACTAAGTGTCAGAAATCTTCTTCAAGGAAAGTCATCGGGTATTGAGGTGTATCCTTACAATTCCATGTGATACCAAAAATCTTATTACAAGTTTGCTTACCTATTTAGTGTATAATTTATACCTTTGGTAAGACTTACTGTCTATCTGTGTCAACACTGACAATTTCTTTATTGGGAGGCATAATGTCCTGGTATAATTAATATGCTGTAGTTGAGCTAAAATTGAGAATTCAAAACTTTTTTAATCAAAAGAACTTTGTTTTGTTTTTTTCAAAAGAACTCTTAAAGCAAACCTTTGCTTACAACCTCAGTGCATAAAACCAGTAAAATTAGAACCATTCTAGAGGAAATTATTGGGTTTGGTTATTCGGGCTCTTAAGATCCTAGGTTTTAGTTTTTGGTCAGTTGGCTCTGATGTTGAGTGAAGCCAGAGCATCATGATAAAGAATATGCTCACCTCATTGTGACTGGGAGAGAGAAGGGATTAGGATTCCAGTGTCCTGTCCTACTTCCACCCCAGAGCATCTCTTCGGCAATACAATTTTCTTCCCTCGGGCACTATCTCCTGAAAGTTTTAACTAACTCCCTTCATCACCGCAGAGGATCAACCAAGCTTTGAGCATTTGACATGGTAGGGAAGCACAACATTTAGACCCCAAACAGTGGCTGGGCTTAACTTGATGATAAACATTTGTGATTCACATAACTGCTTACATATCACCAGATTTAATAATGTTTCTTAGCTCTTGTAAATTTTTTTTTTCCCTTGAGACAGTTTCTTTTTGCAGACCTGCTGTCCTAGAACCCATTCTGTAGAGAAGGCTGGCCTTGAACTCAGAGAGATGGGCCTACCTCTAACTCCCCAGTGGATAAGTGTCTCCTTCAACTTTGCTCTACCTCGACCTTTTTCACTATAGTGATCACAAGTCCATTAATTAATACTGATTTTATTTTTATTTGAACATTTAATCTGCCAGGGAACTATGATCTTGCCTTCAAAACATTCAGCATTTGATTGTCTTTTAACCAGGTCAGTTGTCTGGATATTGAGCTGAATCATTTAGAGTTGTTTTATTTCACCTTGTCCTTTGCTTGTACCCACTATATCTTCAGAGGACAATTTTATTTTCTCTGTAAATGTAATCTCTCTTTAAATATAATTTTACAAAATTAAAATATAATTACATTATTTCTCTTTCTCCCTTCAACTCCTTTCCATGTTCCCTATCTCAGATTTATGGTGTGTATGGGTATAAGTCTGTTTAATATTGTGTGTGTGTGTGTGTGTGTGTGTGTGTGTGTGTGTGTGTGTGTGT